AGATAGAGAAAATATGTTATTACTATTGATTTATATGCACAGTATTATCTCATAATGACGTCATCCCGCTCCGATCCATTGTTTAAAATGAGACTCCGATTTTTCACTCTTCACGCACGTAAAAATTGTTATTCCACAAGGAAATATCCTAGGTACAATCATCTTCACCATCTACACTGCTGACATACCTACACATCTAAACACAACTCACAGCCTACGCTGACGACATCGCAATTCTAGCCTAGCCACAGAATCCGAATTTCATTACCCACTGGTTCACTCATGCCGTATCAAGAGCCAACGAGCAAAAAAGCCAGCAAGTTTCGCTCAAACAGCAGGCCTGCCAACCAGTGCATATAAACCACAAGGTAATACCTAAATCCAGCCAATTTGCTGCTTTGGGCTTTACTTAAGTTGCAGACTTACATGGCCCACATACAAGATTAAATAGACAAGAAGTGTACACGAAACAGACTAATCACACACATTCTGCGACCAAAAACAATACTAAGCAAATATAACAAATTTTTAAAAATAACATTCTGGCCATAATGTGGGGGTCGGCCAAATCCTCCAACGTCAATCGAATCAAGTCCTTTCAATCTGAAGTTCTCCCTTCTATACTCAACGCTCCCTCAAGGTCACCAATCCATAAAGATCTTAAAATCCTTTTCGTACAGAACACGCTTCCTCAGTTTGCACTCTACAATATCTGTCGATTCTTATTTACGCTGCTCCTGTTTGAGCTGCGTCCATGAACAAGCAATATGATATTTTTTAAAAACATTTATGAAAGGTTTTGGTTGAGCTAAAAAACGTCAGTGCCACGAGCGGGATTCGAACCCATGACCTTCGGTTATATACGCCGGTGCTCTACCACTCGAGCTATCGTGACATCGATCAACTCGGACCCCAGCTTCCCATCTCAACCTACCTTTCAAAAATGGCATTTTTCATCCGAGTGGATAGAAGTCACGATAGCTCAACTGGTAGAGCAGCGGCGTATTTAGCCGAAGGTCGTGGGTTCGAATCCCGCTCGTGACACTAACTTTTTCATTTCAATCAATACCTTACATAAAGAATAATTAATTTAAAGAAGTAATTTGGTCAATTAGACCTCTAAAACATAATAGATTTAATAAGTACAAGAAGCATGACTTCAGTAACAGCTCCCCGTGGCCATTTCATAAGTCGCGGAGAATCTACACACATCTCGATAGCTCAAGTGGTTAGAGCAGCGGCGTATTTAGCCGAAGGTCGTGGGTTCGAATCCCGATCATGGCACTGGCATTTTTATCTCATACATAAAGATGAGATGTTATTTGGTAATTCAAATCACGAAATCTAATGAATTCTGTTTTACCTTTGGCCATAGTCATTACAGGTTTTAGGTATTAAACTGCTCTCCACGTTGGTTGTTTAGGAAATCAGGAAAACCGTTGACAAGTTAGTTACATTATTTTATTTTACTTTTATTGCGACCGACAAGAGCGCACAGATATCAATAAATAAAATAAATTTAAAAAACTTGAATTTATTATGTTTCTTTAGTTGTTGTTGATGTTACAAGTTAATCAAAAGAAAAAAATCAAGTCTCCATATTAAATAAATCGTTTTGTAATCGCGTCCAGTATTAAAGAACAGAATCAAAATTTTATCGTGAGTCAAATGAGCCGTTTATGAGTCGTAAAGTTGGCATAAACAGCCTTCTCTAATGAACTTAGGAAGGGTTCGCGATTGGATTGTACAGGGACGAAATACTTTTCCGGTTCGTTACAGTCGTATTCTTCCCACCGCACGGACGTACTTCATACTCGGAACACATAAACATTTTATTATATTCCATTCGGCAAAGAAAGGTTTGTTCAGAATTTAGAAAAGCTCGTGGAATCCTTCGATCCAAATGTTACAAAAAAGTAAAATTAAAAACAATAAACACCGATTATTTTCGTGTTCGCAAGAACAAGTTAAAAAATATTTTTTATAAAATTAAAAAGACTTGCATTCAGGAGAAAATGTAACAATAACAATTACCAAAAAAATACTTCATAAAATTATCTATATACAGGTTGTCCTTTATAGAAGACCCGACTGGATTTCTTTTGAACCAACAACGCTATGAAAAAAGAAGTATTTAGTATTTTTTGCCTAGTTTCAAACTTTTACCTTTTTTGGAGATGCACCATTTTTTTCAGCCTTTCAAAAAGTCCTTTAAAACGATGGGTCAGTATGTCCAGGGTCGTATTTGAAATTTTGAAGTTGAACTGGGCCTGATTACCTTGTATAATTTTTCTCCGAAAAAAGGTAAAAATTTGAAACTAGACTAAAACCTATTAAACACGTATATTTTGTTTTTTGTTGGCCTCACTGATTCAAGAGAAATTCAGACGGGCCATATAAAAAGGACACCCTGCATATTTTCTGTAACTTTTTCATTAACGTGGACAATTAAATTAACAATAGACATTAACGTAAACAATAGAATTTATAATTATTAATAGTTAGCACATACTGGAAACATTTCATGTTAGTGTGATTAAAAAAGTCAAAACTTTTACAGGTGTACCTCAAGGTTCACCCTCTACATAGATCAAAGGCACATATGTATTTTATCTCTAATGTTTTAGAAATTATTTTTGATTTGATAGAAATTCAGATCCATTATTTCGATGTTAGGTTGAGCTGATAAGTCTACAAAATCCACAAGAAGAAATTTTGAAAAAATGCCTGCTCTCTCTCTCTCTCTCTCACATACACTTTTTTTTACAATGGATTTTGTATCTCTCACTCACTCTCTCACTTTCTCTTTCTTTCTTTCTCTCTTTTTTTCTTCTAACGTCACTCTACCTCTAACCCCTGATTTCACTGTCCGAATATCTCATTCAATCTCTCTTTCTCTCTACCTCTCCGGTTCGCTTCCTCTTTACTAATCTCACTCTCTCTTCCCACTTCCCACCCACTCTCTATCTTTCTATTTATCTAACTATGTATCTATCTATGTATCTTTCTATCTATCTCTATATCTATAAATCTATTTCTATCTATCTATCTATCTATTGCGAACTTTCTCTCACTCTATTCCTTCTCTCTATTTATCTCTCTGTCTCTTTTACCCTTTCTTGCTGTCTGTATTTCCTAACCACTTTTTTTCTACCTCCCGCGTCTAGTTTTTGTCTCTTCTAATATTTCTTTATATTTTTCTCCTAGTCTCTCCCTTGCTCTTTCCTAATATTCCTCCACCAATCTCGCTCTCTTTTTCGTAATCTTCTTCTCTTTCGTTCTCGCTCTCTCTCTCACCCTCTGTATCTCCCCCCTCTCTCTCTCTTTCTCTCCCCATATTTATTCTCTCCATCTCTCCATCTATCTCTGTCTTTCCCTATGTCTCATCCTTATCTTCAATGGATATGTTTTGGCTCATGCGTTCATTTTAAAATATTTAAGCAAAATGGCAAGTCACACGGCTGATTGTTCTTTATTAATATTACGAGTTCAAGAGTTAAGTGGTTAAAAGTACATGAAAGTTTTAATGCGCATTTGTATAACTTTTAGATACGTCGTTAGGCAGGTCTGAGACGAGGAGAAACTGTAAAGCCACGGATCTCAATGGAAATACATGAGTTTTTCTTTTTGTTTCTTCCCGGGTCGATATTGCGTTAGGGGGCCATTTATGCCCACTTCCAGGTTGATATATCACACTCGGAAACTCGGATATGGCACAACGATGTCAACGGTAACGGACTTCTAATTACAAAGGGCTATTATTTAAGTACAGCTATTATTACCACTCTTGACAGCAGATAGTGAACTAGAAATTGTCTATAATTTAATTATAATTGTCATCGTGTGTCAAAAATGTTGAAATATACCTCTATAAATCATAAATTTATACTTTATTGTAAATTATGAACATTTAGCTTTGCTGGACTCATTGTTTTTTTCCGTTTATTGGTTCTCTCTCTCTCTCTCTCTCTCTCTCTATATATATATATATATATATATCTTTATCTCTGTTTTTCTTTCCCTTCTTTCTCTATCTAGTTCTCACTCTCTCTATCCCTTATATAATTATCCTTAGCTCCATATCTCATTTTCTCTCTCACTTTTTCTCTCCTTTTCTGTAATCTTTCTCTCCCTCTCTCTCTCTCTCTCTCTCTCTCCCTCCCTAATGTTAAACTTTTTGATATATTTATCTTTATTTCTTTCTTTCCCTTCTTTCTCTGTCTAGTTCTCTCCCTTTCTCACTCTGTCTTTCTGTTTGTCTGCCTGGCACTCTCTCTCTCACTCTCTCTCTCTCTCTCTCTCTCTCTCTCTCTCTCTCTCTCTTCTAATTATCTTATTTTCTCAGGCTCTGTATCCCATTTTCTCTCTCACTTTTTCTCTCCTTTCCTGTAATCTCTCTTTCTCTCTCCCCCTCTCTTTCCCTTTCCCTGTCTCTTCCCCAACCCTCTCACTCCCTTTCTTTTCATCTCCTTCTCTTTCTCTCTCTCTCTCTCTCTCTCTCTCTCTCTCTCTCTCTCTCTCTCTCTCTCTCTCCATCATGATCAACATTTTGATATATTTATCTGTATNTCTCTCTCTCTCTCTCTCTCTCTCTCTCTCTCTCTCTCTCTCTCTCTCTCTCTCTCTCTCTCTCTCCCTCCATCATGATCAACATTTTGATATATTTATCTGTATCTTTTCTCTCTTTCTTTCTTTCTCTCTCTCTCTCTCTCTCTCTCTCTCTCTCTCTCTCTCTCTCTCTCTCTCTCTCTCTTGCTCTCTTTCTCTCTCCCTCTTCTTTAACTATATATCTTTTTATCTACCTATCTAGCATACTTAACTCACTTTATTGTAAAACCTACAATTCGTCCAATCATCTTGCGTCCCCAAAGCCTTTACGGTTCGTCAGGTTTATATACGTTTTTCAGAGATATGCAATGCTTTTTTAGAAATCTATTGTTGTCGATTTGGTAAATAGCGAAAAATGTTGATATCATTAGTAATATAAATGTTTCTTGCAGGCGGAGGAAAGTTCGATGAAGATGTTCCCCGAAGAGAGTCCTAACTCCGTCACCGTCCAGCTAGGATTCGTCGTCGAAGAATCTTACATGGAAGGTCTCGAATTGACGTGCATTTCAACGATTCCGGCTTTCCTCGGGCACCACGCCAGGCATTCCCAGTACGCCGACCACAGGGCGCATTCCATTAAAGGTAAATACAATCTCGCGCATGTTTTTCTACTTTCGATATGAAGAGCTTATCAACGTAATGGAACGTGGCAAATTGACAGTGACAGTAATGTGGAAGATGGAAATGTCCTACTAATGTATTTCCAATGAAACAAGGCGCACGGTGCCGCCACATTTAACATTTCATGAGCTCTCCACGTAGTTAATTAATTAACACGTTAAATATATGTAATGTACTAATTCAATATTTATTTAATATATTCACATCAGCGTGGTAAGCTCAACTCACTCGTAAATAATTAAAGTCTTCCAAAAATTATTACTTATTATTCTTACTATTTTTATTCTCTAGTTGATTTTTATTATCACCACCTACAGGCGACTCCACCATCCTATCCTCTAACCCGAATCTGTCCAAGCTACCTCCCACATCCAGGAACACCTTGAGCTTATCGAAGACTGGTGTAAAAAACGGAGGACAAGACTGAACGAAGAAAACTGCACTCACTGCACTTTTAAGTTGAAAAAGCAGTCTTGCCTCCATTGTACATCAACAACAAGGAGATAATATTGGGTTGTCCGGAAAATAATGCAGGATTTTGGTATTAAACAAAAAAAAAGAAACTAGTTACTTTAAAGCAATGTTCTTTAATCAAAATAATTTCCCATACTCTCAATACATTTCTCCCAACGTGTTGGTAACTTATTAATTCCGTCTGAGTAGAATTCAGAATTTTTAGAATTGATAAAGTCAATAAATGCATTTTCCAGTTCCGTTTGATTTTTGAATATTATGTGTTGTAAGTAGTGGTCCAGGTGTCTAAAAAAATGGTAGTCAGTAGGCGAGAGGTCCGGAGAGTAGGGTGGGTGAGGCAAAGTTTCATAGCCAAGCTCCAATAATTTTTGTGACGTTACACGTGACACATGTGGTCGAGCGTTGTCATGCAACAAAATGGGCCCTTTCCGATTGACCAAAGAGGGCTTCATTACTGCCAATTTCTGATGCATGGTATTAATTTGGTTACAGTATGATTCAGCATTGATGGTTTCGCCAGGATTTAAGAAGCTGTAGTGTATTAAACCAAATGAAGCCCACCATACCGTAACCATTACCTTTTTTTGATGAGTTGGGGGCTTTGGAAAATGTATTGGAGCTTCTCCTTTGTCGAGCCACTGTCCAGAATCCACTTTTCGTCACATGTAACAATTCTGGCCAGAAATGGGTCATTTTTGTTTCGACAAAGAAGTGATGCACAAACATCAAAGCGCTGATTTTTTTGGCGATCGTTTAATGAGTGTGGAACCCAATTTTCGAGTTTTTTCACTTTTCCAATCGCCTTGAGGTGGTCAGCGACGGTCGTTTTACTGACTTTGAGTTGCTCTGCAAGTTCTCGAACAGTTGTTTTGGGGTTTTCTTCCACCACTGATCGCAGAACATCATCATTAAGAGAGGAAGGCCTTCCACGACCTTCTTCATCTTCAAGGCTGAAATCTCCCTCCCGAAATTTTTTAAACCACCTTTGCACAGTGCACTCATTAACACAACCCTCGCCCCAGACTTGGTTAATGTTTCTAGCCGTTTGGGCTCCGCTTCGGCCGAGTTTAAACTCGTAAAAGAAAATCGTACGAAATTCTCGCTTTGACATTATAAGGATGACTGAATTATTTCCAAGTAGCGGAATGCTACAGAGGTAAACAAACAATATCATTTGGAAGAGGATTAATAAGTGTTGACATTCATACAAATGAGTAATCCTGTAAACGTAAACAGAATATTTTATATAGATTTTTTTTAATGAAAACTTAAAATCCTGCATTATTTTCCGGACAACCCAATAGTTTCCACTCAAGTCAAATACCTGGTACTATATCTCGACAGCAGACTGACGTGTACTCCCTACAAAAGACTTCCAAAAAAACTTAATACAAGACTTGGACTACTACGAAGACTTCTATGACCGAAATCGACTTTGACAATTAAGACAAAGCTAACACGGTACAAGACTTTACTAAGATCAATATGGACATACGGAGCGGAACCGTCGGGTACTGCCAAGCCTTCCACTATCCAGCGCATCCAGTCCTTCCGATCGAAAGTCCTTAGACAAATTGTGAAAGCACCTTACTGTCCTCAAAGACCTTAACATTACTTTTGTCAACGCACTTTTCCTGTCCAGATTCCAAACCTTCCCTTTTCACTCATTCCCATTCTGACAACCCACCATGTCGCCTCGGGACCTCCTTGACCTCTAATCATAAACACTGAGTTCCAACAATGGCTAGCTCCTCAAAGCATGTGTCCTACCGGTGCAGTGTTGTGCTGTGTAATACATTCACAACTCTAACTTTTTTGAACATTCGTTGGTATATGGAATCATGTCATATTTGTATATACACTATCTTGTATAGGTAACAAGTAAATTTAAAACAATATTAACACTTTTGATATTTATGGGAATCACCTACTTCGGCATTTGGCAATCCATGATCTGTACTCGGTCTTACCCGTTCAGCCGGCGCAGTTAGACTCCAGTGGCTGCAAACAGCTAGGTTATATCAGTCCGTTCATTGTTATATTTTTTCTTATATACAGAAACAGAACATTCAGTCAAATAAGGTATTCACGCTAATGAATACAATCTTATTTCAATGTAAACAAAAAGAAACAAAAATTTTCAAAATCCCAGATGAAATAATTGAAAACGTCCAGGAAAATAGTAAAATTTTAAGAAGAAACTTATACTTCCGAACTGGCACTATTTCACTTACTGGGTCCGAGTACACTCGCTGGTTTTGTCGCCATATTCAGTGAGGTACTCTGACAGATCCAGAGACATGGTGTCAGTTAAAATTGTGTTTACCGAATCCCTAACAAACATTTACCATCAATTCTAACTTTAACTTTTTTGAACATTTGCTAGAATATGTTTATTAATGGAATAAGGTATATCACGACATAAAATTATTGGAAAATGTTCCGCCTAAAATGGTTGTTTTACTGTTTAAAAAATAAATCTTTACACGGAAATCTACAGGCCATTGTACTAATGCTAGAATGCAAATTTAAAAAATGGATAAAACTAATAAACTATGAACAACATTTTTGTGTGGTCTTCTGGATAACTATTCAGTCTAAAAAAAACTTTTCTTGGCGTAAAATAACAACTAGAATAATGAAGTGATATATTATAGATATAAGATGAGATAACTGATGAAGAGATTAAAGATAATAGACAAGACGACGTTTCAAAAATGGCAAAGAGGATGGAAAATTCGAAAGGTTGTAGGTTGAGATGGGGAGTTGGTGTCCGAGTAGATCGAAGTCACGATAATTCAAGTGGTAGAGCAGCGGCGTATTGAGGCGAAGGTCGTGGGTTCGAATCCCGCTCGTGGCACTAGCTTTTTCATTTCAACTAAAACCTTACATAAAAAGATTAATTAATTGAAAGAAGTAATTTGGTCAATAGACCACAAAATATAATGGATTTAATAGACAAAACTAAATTAGTCTACTGCCACAGGTTCAACTCACAGTCTTCAGAATAAATGATTAAATATATAAAACCAAAGTAGTACCAAGCTTTATTATATAATGTCAGCATGAACACCAGATATTTTTAAATTGAGTCCGAAAAGTTTCACTCACTTATTTTTGTTCCTCATATAGAAACCTCTGAAATACTTGAAGATGTAAAATAATTTCGTTTTGTGATAGGACAATAGCGTATATCAGCATACAGTGGTCCGCATTACTCATTTTTTGTCGGAGTTTAATACTAACGAAAACTCTTTATAGAAATAAACGAACCTTCAGTTGTTAAAATTAACTTTAATTATTTTTAAAAAACTTAAAAAAAGACAGAAAATGGTACGCTGAACTCGCTGTATGTTTTATAGAAAACAATCGAAATAGGTGATCTTTGGACATTTCTAGATGTAACAACACCACTTAAAGAACAGAGCCAAATAGAATAGAGCACTGTAACATCAGCAATCTTTGGTATATTTGCTTAAATGTATAAAAGCAAAGCTTTATTTTATAATTTGAGTAAAAATACGAGAGTTTACATTATGGAAAAAAATTAATCATGGGCCCGTACTGCATATTTTTCTCGTGTTTTCATATGCTTAGAAGTGAAATAATAAATTAAACACCCAACCGACATATTAACCCGTGTTAAAATCACAATTTTCTTCTTTTCTTTTGTCTGCGCATTCTACATTCTGGCAAATTTGGTCGTGTTTTCTTTTTTGGTCGAATAACGGCTAATACCTGTCGGTCTCGTTTTCTTTTGTGAGGCATGGAATAAAATTATGTTTTCCCTCTGGCCGTGTCAATTTGATAAATTATTATTATTTACTTGCTTTTGAAACGAACTTTCGGGGAGGCTATCTTTCATTCTGAAAATAATCACAAATTCCAAACTAATAAAATAGTAAATTATCCAAATGAACATTAAGATATTTTATACTATTTCCATTTTTGTTTATTTTCAATTTTAAATTACACACCTTCCCATTTGAAATTTTTTCTACATTTTTTTCTCATTGTCCTCAATCCAAAAAAGCATTGTTTTCCCACTCGATCAAACACAGTCTTTTTAGTGAAAATTATTTTTAAAAAACATAACAAAATTAAGTCAATTCCATTTTATATAAACTTTTTATTATTTTCCCAATCTGTTAATATCAGCAAAGTTTTTTCTAATCGACGGCCGAGCTTTAATTGAGGTAGAATCCATTCGTTGTGTAATTCACTTTCTGATGATTTTGAACAAAACGTCAGAGTTGTAAATCGTTCCGGATAAATTACTTCCTAAGAGAAACTCGTTAATTTACACATATAATTACCAAAAGTTACATAATTGTTACTACATACATTTAATGCTTGGTGATTTTGTGTGAGAGATACCAAGCGCATTTAATTAGAGTATTGTAGTATAAAACAGTTCATTAAAAACTATTAAAAGCTTCAATTTAATGAGTAATAATACTTTTTTTAGTGCTACGAGCGTCAAACCA